AATTAGAAACAAAATAAGACTATCGAATCGATAGGGCAAATTTGGGGTATGACACTGTCAAATTCTCCCCAAGCTCTTCGGGCGAGCTCTGGGCGAAAACAGAAAAGAAGAAACTCTTTAAATAGGGGAAGAATAGATTTTTTGAGAGGTGGCTTAGTTTTTCTTCCCTAGAAACCATTCTAGAATGTGGGAAGCTTAGAAAACAACAATAGAGGGTACTCTTTGAAGATCTGGAGCAAGGTTTATATCAATCGACGGGGAATCTCAGTAGATGTTTGTTCTCCTTCATTATTCTATTTGTATTTATTTTTCATGTGTAGCTAAATCCCTTTCTTATTGGGATTGGATGTAAGTTTATCATAATAGTATGCATTTTTATTGATCGTGGTGTTGTATACAATCTATCTATGAATCTATGTCGATGTTATATTTGTTTTCTTGTTATTCTTTGATTTGAATTCATATTGGGAAATATCTTTCAAATCTTAAGTTAAGAGAAACATATATTAGATTTTAACTCTATACATAGATTTAGGTTTAGCAGTCACTGTGACTATCGCTCGTAATGCATTGTATTGTTTGATAGGCCGAGGGATCATCGATTAAACAATACGGTAGAACCTGCAAAACCGGTTAGACATAACCGGGGTTGATAATTATTCTCATTAGAATTTTAGAAGTACTCTTTTGTGAGTGATACATGATAATATTGATGATTGTTTAGATTGTGTACAACTGATTGGTGAATTGCATACTCTATCGATAGATGAAATTCAATCCTAACAAGCTCTCTTATCTCTGAAAATTCATTTAACATTTGCTTGTTTTAAATTCTGCAACTTTAAACTTCTAAAAAATTTGAAAACTTAAGCTAAAAATCATAGTGACTATTGAATGGCATTGATATCGCACTAATTCCTATGGAGACGATAAAACAAATACTTACTTTTGGTTGTTGCTTTACCGCAACAACAATAGGTTTCACTAGAAGCCAGTTCGACCACTGTGTTTACTTCAGAATTTAACCTAGAAATTCCCTTGTTATTTTGTTTCTTTATGTGGATGATATTCTCATAGAAAACAACAATGTCGAGGATGTAATGAAGGTGAAGGTTGAACTCAATAAAGCGTTCAACATGAAGGATCTGGTAATTGCATCTAGGATTCTTGGAATTGACATCTCGAGAGATAAAAAGTAGTCGAGATTATGCTTGTCTCAAGAGACATACCTGAAGAAGATTCTCTACTAATTTGGTATGTCGAATTGAAAGCCTGTTATGACACCTACTAATCCTCAGTTTAAGCTAAGTATGACTCAAAGTCCGAGTAGTGAAGCTGAATGAATCTATGTGAATAGCATTCCATATGCTAGTATAGTGGGTTATTTGATGTATGGTATGTACGAGGCCAGACATAGTCTACGGTGTGAGCCTTGTAAGCAGATATATAGTAATCCTTGGAAGGTATACTTGCAAACGTTGAAGTGGATTCTAAGGTACATAAATGGGTCTCTAAACAGAGTCCTAATTTATGGTGGAGTATATGGTGAAGATAGTAAAGCATAAACGAATGGTATGTCTACTCTGATTATGCAGGTAGTATGGATTTCAGGAAATATAATTTTGGATATGGATTCACTATTTTTGGCACAACAATCAGTTGGAATGCGACACTTCAGAAAATTGTTGCCTTATCAACCACTGATGCAGAATATATCGTCCTCACTAAAGTTATGAAAGAAGCATTGTGGCTTGAAGGTTTTGCTAAGGAGTTGAAACTTCAAGGTCGAGTTATCACTGTTAAATGTTATAATCAAAGTGTAATACACATGTTGAAGAATTCAGCCTATCATGAGCGTACCAAGCACATCAATGTGAAGCTACATTTCGTCAGAGAAATAATCAAGCGTGGAGAAGTCCAAGTGTCGAAGGTTACCCTTGTTGTTATTCACTTGTAATCATTGTAACCCTAATGAGTAAGTGAATAAAAAAACAGATTTAATCAATTCTATACTTCTTCTTTATCCCTCTTCTTTCCCTTTTGTGAAATTTTAATAGGGTTTCTTGTGTTTGTTCAAGAAACTCAATCTTTCTCATAGTTGTGATTTATTCTTGACAGCACTTTGTTACAATAATTTTCATTATAATTTGTATTCATTCATATACATTCCAGTACAATTGTATCGTACAAAATTATTTTAACTCGTGCTGACACACAGGTATTTGACTAGCTTGACAAAAACAAATGGTTGCAATGTATTCTCATATTTTACAACTTTAATTTTTTGTAATTTATTAATTAAAACACTTCGACTTTAATATTGTAGTTTAAAAGAAAATATTTGCATCGTCAATTGCAAATATGTTGTTAAGCCTTTCTCTCGAAACATTGAAATATTTATGATCATTTCTTTATTTTTTTTAATAGTTTTTAATGTTACTTATACTTTAAATTAAATATCTCTATTTAAATCATTTCCATTTTATTTATTAGAAACCAATTTTTAAAATTGGAAAGAGCTACAAATTGTATAAGACGACCCTGTCTTATATTTATTTTTATAATTAAATATTTAAAAATTATTATATAACAAATTAAAATTAGTTGCTCACTTTTTATGTTAGTTTTATTTTTATTATTAGTCTTGGAACTCTAAATAATGAGTGCGTATATCTTAAGCAAAAAACTCCCCTCTTAAGAGAATTTCATTTTTCATTTAAAATCTATCCAAAAATACATACTACACAACAACACATACATAGAATAAAAATCTCAAACTTAATAGGCTGAAATGAATTTTACATTTGAATCATGTATTGAATTGTCGAATTTATTTGTTGAAAATGAAATTTTAAAGATCAGCAAATTAACACGCCCAATGAAACATAGTTTGAGATAGTTATGCCAACGTTTTTGTAGTTTACATTCCAAAACAAACAAAAAAAATTGTATAAATGACCCATTCCAATTCCATAATGAGAGATGATAAATTAAAAAAACAATGTTAATAAAATACATAGTAGTCAATTAGTCCTTTATTAGGGGGGACTCCTCCTAATTAAAATTCCGAGGCTAATTGACCTCTACATGGATGCTTACACTTCCGGAAAAATGAGACAGAAGATGAATGATAATAACATGAATTGATAAATATGATAATTAAACAAATGACTAAAATATTAAATCTAATCATAGAAAATTCATTTGCATAGTATCAAACATTGGCCACCCAATTCGGTTGCCGATGTTGGATGGCATTAAGCAATGTTGATAATGACAATGTAACAGAAAATAACGGTGTATCTCAAGGGATAATTCGAAGGTGTGCCTCAAGGGATAATTCGAAGGTGTGCCTCAAGGGATAACTCGAAGGCAGAGTTGTCAATAGCGGACGCTCCAGCCGCTATCGCGACGCACCGTAGCGGTGCAGCATCCCACGCGCGCTATTTAGGGTGCAGTGGCAGAGATGAAAAAGTGGCCGCTTCAGCCGCATTCCCGGGTAGCGGGTAGCGGGAAGTTCCCAGGCAGAGCGGTTCCGATTCTCTTTTTTTTTTTTAAAACAATTTTCTGGGCCAAATTACTTAAATGCATCTGTTTTAAAACAGTTTTTGTTTTCTTTCTCCCTCATTCGCTGTTTTAAAACAGTTTTTGTTTTCTTTCTCCCTCATTCGCTGTGTTTTATCGTGCCCTAATTCCTCAACTCTCCTTCTACTATTCTGCCGCCATCTCCCTGCAACTCTCCTTCTTCGATTCTTCCTCCATCTCAGTTAATTTCTTCTAATTCTTTAACTTATTCTACTTCAACTTACTCTACTTCTTTTATTTCTACTATTTCTTTTTACTTTCTACTTCTTCTATTTTGTTTTGTTGTAAACACCGTTTCTTTCTATTTTGAAAAAGTTGAAGATGAAGAATTGGAGGAATATGAAGAAGATGAAGAATTGGAGGAATATTTTGATGATGCTACATGATTTCTATGTTTGCTTGAATTTTCATATGATAGTACTAAGTTTAAATTTGAATTTTTATGTTTTGAATCTTGATTAAGCATTGTTCTTTGTTTGACATTAGATTTTATAAATATTTTATGAGTGTTGTGAAATTAGTTTAGTATTACATGACATAAGTTTTATAGATTATTATATAATTATTAATATACAAAAAGTTATTCCGCTATCCGGAATCCCGCTATTCCCACTTTTCCCATTCTCGAGAGTCGGTCGCTCCGCTCCGCTATCCGGGATTAATAACTCTGCTCGAAGGCCATATGTCAGCCCTTAAAATACAATGATGGCGAATATCTTATTTTTTACAACATTTAAAGAAGCCATTGAAGAAGTTAGAAACTCTTTCATGGTCAAAATAGTAAAGAAGCTAGCTGGCATAAGAAAAAAAGTAGTTATGAGTTATCAATTTGCGGTAACAAGGCAAATAACCAAGTGAAGGCTAAGTAGGTTGTTTGAGACATAGGTTGTTTGAGACAAAGGTTGTTTAATGAAAAAAAATCAAACACAATAGCTAATGTTTTCTTAAAAATCTTTAAAAATCAATCTCTAAATTATTGAATATCAATATCATTTTATATATAGTCCGTAACATTCAACAAATGCTAACAAAATACTGTGTTGGGAAATTAGATCCCTCTATTACAGAATATATCAAATAATCCTTCATATAATTAAACTAAAGTCTCACAAAACTTTGGATAAAAAATTTCAAGTAGCACATAGGTGCTCCATTAAATAATGTACTGTCCAAAGCAAAAAGCTAATCCAGAAAAACAAAACGATTATGAAACCTAAGTCACCTGACAATGTGTATAAGAAACAGGTTCTTCATTCCGATGATAATCGACGCCTTCTGCACATAATTTATAGAGTTCAGAAGTCAAGAACTTGGAAAGGCTTGCTTGCTCACATCCATTTGAAACACTTTAACAATGTTACAGACAGTAATCAGTAGTGGAACTGAATAATGATGGATATTCTAACTTGATTTTTTTAGGTGACGGTTCCGCTATCTTTCTGCTCATTGTAATCTTGGAAAAAGGACTTTCCAGCTTCATATGTTGACCAGCAAATAGCAGCTGCAGGAGCATGAAAGAGCATCCTTGGAACCCAGCCTCGCATGAGCCCTCTGGGTCCATCTTTTTTCACTATTGTTTTAATAACACCCCCAATTGAACCGTTTTTGAACCTATCACATCCACACACACCCTGCACCATGAAACCAAAGTCAAGATAAATTTTCAAAGAGGAAACAATAAAGCTATCTTTTTATAAATGATTTACCATCATTATCAACCCAAGGATGCCAAAAGAATAATCATATAATAAAAGTTGCAAGACTTAAGTTACAGAACAATCAAGTTCCAAATAAAGTATCAACTTCCAAACACAATATTCACACAATTTCATATTAGTGACCAAATGCGACAAAAGTTGAAAGGAACATTTGAAAGAACTAAATTTGAACACATCCGTCATCAGTACTATCATCTTCAGCAGCACTCCAGTTTAACGGCAATTTTTCTGATCAAAGCTCTAAATTATATAGTCAAAAGTAACAGGTGGACTTGAATTCACATAAAGGTCAAAGGTTCATTTCCCTAAGTGCCTCAACTAAAATTTCTATTAATTAAGCATGATATGCAGAAGTTAAATTAAATGCTCTGCTGTATATATGTAAAATTTCATGCTTGTAAATAGTACTGAAAAATTATTAAGATGCTACTCACAATTAGTCTGATAGTTATCATATCCAGTGGTAAACAATTTGTGGTTCATTGTATAGTATAGTATCACCATTTATATCATACTACTATTTAAACTAGTACCAAAAAGTAAAGGTGTTGCTTCTTGGCAATCAATTACCATTTTCACCAATAAACTTTTAAATTTTGTGGTAGGATAGGAACCATGAATTTTTCTTTTAACTGGTGTGTATATACCGACAAGCACGTGGGATGCAAGTAGGGTAGAGAGAATTTACAAGTGGTGTCATAGAATTAACAAGTGGTTTAACATGGCAAGGGCGCAAGGAGCTGCTCCTTTTCAGTAATGGGGATACATTATTTTCTCAGACATAATCGGCTTTTCTCTATCTTGTAAGTGTTATTTCAATTTCTATACAGTTCTTGAATTATATAGCAACGGGAGATTCGTCCCCTGGTTGATATAGTTTGTCAATGTATTTTCCTTCACTCTGCACTTGGTTCCTACCTATCATATCTGTATACGGTATATCGTAGTAGAATAGACACCTTGCATCTTTCTCATCCTTTCACCATATTTTACTGATTTCTAGCCTGTCAGCATGTCTTTTGAACCTCCTTACTCTATTTTCTAACTCGCTTCTAACAAAGGCCAAAATTCGACTGAGGAGTATAACTCTTTACTTCAGCATATCACCCAGGTATCATTTTAAAGTCCCAGTTTCAACAACTCAATTTGTATACTAGTTTTTCAGACATGATACCAATCATAACCCTTATTTAAGTTAATAGGTGTATATCACATTCTCATATTCTATCAAAGGGGATATTCGTTGGATTAAATAAGTACTGCATTTATACCAAAGGTTGTAAGGGTCAGACATGTTATTTAAAATGTTTTACATTCTACTCTAGGTTGTTAATCTCAGATAGCGGCGCGTAGCGCCGGACCTCCCAAATGCTATAGCGGCATAGCGGGATGACCGCTATTGTGAGCTTTTAAAAATCAATGTAAATACTTAATATGAAAACATAAATACTAAAAATAGGTTCCAACAACATACATAAATACTAAAAATAGGTTCCAACAACATACATAGTGACTTAAAAACAAAAGTTGCAACATACATAAACCAAAAGTTGCAACATACATAAACCAAACATAATGACTCAAATTAAGAATGTATTCAAAATGACTAAATCAAATTCTAAACGTAAACAAAATGACTAAATCACATCCGTCTTATCTTCACTTCTAAGTTCCACCACATTAATATCATCTTGCTCATCACTTGATTCAATTTCAAACTCTTCTTTTTCCACCTCCAACTCCTCATCTCCATTAGACACTAATGTAGCAAGTCTAGAGTGATGTCTAGAGAAGGAGAAGAAGACCGTTGAGCAAAAGTGGAACGCGATATGAAAACAGGGGAGAAGGAGAACAGCTTCTGAGTTGAGTGAAGAAAGAGAATGTAAATGACCTAATGCCTCACTTTTAGCTTTTATATTAGTGAAATAAAAGAGAAAAATACAAATTTGCCCTTCAAAAAAGTCAAAATTACAGTATTGACCTCATCTTCACAATAGCGGTTTGTAAAGCGCTACAGAACCGCTATTGCACCGCTATGGCGAGGTCCTCCACCGCTACGCTACACCGCGCTATTGACAACCTAGATTCTCCTAATAATAAATCTATCACTTAGCAAACATAATGGTATAGTTGTCGGTGTACTGTCTTCTGGAGGTACTTCTATTTTGTAACATTCTATCTTCTCCTAAATTTGATGCACGCCTTCATAAAACTTGAAGATAACCTTCTCGTATAGAAATTGCAGCATAAGCTCCTTTAATAATAAATCTGTAACTCAGCAATCTAACTTAACAGCACCTTGAAGCAGCCCAAACCCAGTAACATAACTTCATTTTGGAGCACCTAAGGGCAGGTTGGGTTTCGACCCTCATTCAGTGTCCTAAACCCGCTCACACACAAGACACGCCATTTCCTTCACCTATGCAAATAGGTGAGGGTAGCCACATATAAAATGGCTCTATTGGTTCAAACCAAAATAACAGTAAAACTACTTCGAGAAAATTGTTCCCAAAAATTTTCAAAAGTCATTCCCTACCTATTTTAACAACACCAATAATAACTAATCTTTTTCCACTAAGTCAGGCCAATTGCAAAGGTCAAATTAAACAACACTATGAATCATATCTAAAATAAAACTATTTAAATACAAATTTCCCAAACATCATAATAGTTTGACTTAAATCATCTAACCAATAACCATACAACTATCCAAGCGCCTAGTAGTAATCCCCACATAAGCATTTGCTTCACTTTTTTCGCAAATCGCCTCTTCCATGACAAACATGAAACCCCTACATAAGCACAAAGAATTTTCCTATGGAACTAAACGTAATCAAACACAAGCTTAAATAATCAATGAAAGTGTCATCCAAGCTCCAAGCAAATATATATTGCATTCCAGTGTTGCCAATAGCTAATCGCGAAAAATGGCACTATGTTCAAATTCCACTATGCAACAATGTTATAACACCTTACTTCGTACTAAAAATAGTATATCACAAGACAATAGCGAATTGTTTAAATGCCTCGACGCTATTTAACAACATTGTTAATTTGTTCATATGCTAAACTTTAAAGACATGCACTATAACTAAGCAATTCAAAATCGACAATTTATCATTACTACTATTACTATAATTACATATATACCTGACATTGCAGTTGAGTTTTAACAACATCAAGCGGTGTTGTAACAGCAGCAGCCAAACCACCAGCAGCCGCCCCAGCCGTAGCATGAACAATCAACCGTTCATCATCCGCACTGTCCGGTGAAACCTCATTCAACCCCCGTTTCGCCGCCTCATAAGTAGCAAAATGCACAGCCGTAAAAGGTGCATTCATCAAAACCGTAGTCCTATACGAAGCATAAAAAGCCCCAAACCCCTCCTCACTCAAAACCCTCTTCACACAATCAAAAACCCCCTTATAAGCACTCTTACTCAACTGCAACCTCTGTTTCACCATATCCATCGGCGTAAACACCGCGTCACTCGCAACCGTAGCACAAACACCCGAAGCAGCATGAGCTACCGAATTATTAGGGTTCCCTTGCGAGAATTTCTTTTTACAAGTCTCATAAACCGAGAAATAAACGGCGTGTGCCGGCCCCGCGCCGAGCCCCATTGCGCCGATGCCGCGGTATAACGCCGACGGACCTTCCGTTTGGAGAATCGAACGGACGGCTTGACGGACGGAAACGGATTTAATCGGACAAGAAGTGATTGCTTGCATGTGAGTTTTAACGGTGTCGACTGGAAACATGGCCATGTGTTCGATGCAACCGGCGACGGATCCGGCAATCATTAACTGCCAGAAGTGAAGACCGTCGTGAGTTGACGGCGTCAAGGTGTGAAAATCGGGCCGGTAATCTGGATTTTGGAACTTCGCTCTCGCTTCTGTAGCCATGAATTTGGGAAAATTTAACAAAATTGAAAAATAAAATAGAAATAAATTAAACTAGATGATGAAGAATTATATAGAATGAGAGGTTTTTGTTTGAAGTTGTGTGAGTTGGGGATTTGGATTTGTTGAATTAGGGGTTAGATTGCGTGGTAGACTTTGTGTCTATGCTTGATAAGTTAAAAGGAACCGTGTTAGGGTTCCAAATATTTGGGAATGAGATTTTTCTACCTTTTCGCCTTTTTTTCCTACCTTTTTTAATAATTCCGTTAGAATATAACTTTATATGGAAAATGTTATCATGTGATATAATGAAATTAAGATTTTAAATATGGCAAATGTTAATTTGTATCTAAGGGGCCAAGTTAATAAAATATTTTTAGAAATATTTTTTTGAAATACGTGTAATTGATTTTTTTTTAAATTTTAAATATAATTTTATTTTACTCAAATTTTTTAATTAAAGTATCTTTAACATGTATTCTTGAGACACAAGTTAGTAGAATCTGTTAGGATGATTAAAGTTTATAAATATTATTTAATATTTGAACAAAATACATCATAAATATTTTTTAATCAATTAAATGTTAGATTTTTGCAGTTCACAAATAATTATAATGTCATCCAAAACCACTTTTTAAGGTTTTCCTCATTATGATTTAGGTCATTGGAAATTGTTTTTGAACTTTTCTTCTCAATGGTCTCCAAATCATTCTCAATGATGATTTTTTTATTTATTATCTAATCATGTCTTTAAAAGTTTCTCTTGTTTTAGACCTTGTGTCATTTGTATCGCGGCAGAAAAATTGAAATTAAGTTAATTGTTAACGTAATTCAAAAATACAAGAGTCGCCACTGAACTTTATTGTTGGGAAAACATCGAGAAAACCCAACGTGAAAAAATAAAACAAAAGCAGAGATCAGGGTACAGAGGTTGATTATACAAGGGGAAGATATTAGCACCCCTTACATTTATGGTACTCCATATGAACCTCTTGAAAATCTGTGTTAGGTTAAAATCGGGTTATTTGCAAAAAGATTGGGGTGATGAGAAAAAAAGTGTTTTTTTAGTATTTTTACTCGCCAGGACTTCAAGAGCCTTGTGTCTAGAAGTGGGTAGGAGATGAAGAGACTATCCTAAAGTATAAAGTAAATGACATGAAATAAATGGTCACATTGTAAGGTAGCCCAAGAGAAAGTCTTTGTATGTGTGCAGGCGAGCTAACCACAAGATGGAGCAAGCATTTGATATTAGTCAAAATGAGCATTCATTCGCCTTTGGATTAAGCCACAAGATAAGCACACAAGCAGAGCAAGCACATGATCAAACGAATATCAAAAGATCCAGATGAAAACACATAGCATCAGATGAATCACAAAGCATAAAATGAAATCCCAAAATCTCAGATGAAATCCCAAGGTCTCAGATGCCACAAAGCATCAGATGAATCACAAAGCATCAGATGAAATCCCTAGGTCTCAAATACCACAAAGCATCGGATGAATCACAAAACATCATATAAAATCCCAAAATCTCAGATACCACTCCAAGCATAGGAAAAACACTAGCTTAATGTCCAAAGTCCAAAACTCCTCAAGCAAGAGATAATAACACAGAGTCCAAATGATCAGATGAAAGTTTATTAGGGTTGTAGCCTTTTATTAATGTTTTTGGTCTTTTTTAAACAAGAGAAACAAAAATAATAATGACAAGAAGGTAAATACCAAAAATAAAAGGCAAGAATATAAATGGCATGAAATTAAATTGCAATAAATATAAAGATGTTAGAATAATTAACATGTTAATGTTGGTGTTAATGAAAGATCAAATGGGTCGAAACAATTTAGCACTATGTTAAGCAATCGTAAGTGAACTTATGTAGAAGTATCACCTATAAGAGGTTGGTCAATAGCAATTTATGTGTCATACATGTTAGAGGAATGATACAAACCATCCTTCTAAAACAATGTAACACAAGTTAAAACAAAATCAACAGAAGAGAGAGATGAGGATGGAGAATTGATCAAGCACAAAGGCAAAAGGATTGGATCATTGCTTCAATCATTCCTCTTCATGATGATGAGATAAACTTATCATAAATCCAAAGCACCAAAAATGATCAAATGGTCATTTAATGATAAGTTTGAAATGATGAAAGTTTAATTAATCAAGACATCATTTCAAAGTCCAATTGAACAAGACGAGCAACAATCAACCACACATGATCAAGGTAACAAAAGTCAAAACCTAAAAGCATAAAGAACAAATCAAAATTAATATTTAAAAATGATTTAAAATGGTAAGTAAAAAGGAAATTTAAAAAATGCAGCAAAACACCAAATAAATGTTCCAAAAAATTTGAGAAAATCACAAATACTACAAGTAATAAGATCTCAAAAGCTGGGATAAAAATGTTTCAAAATAGTGGAGAATAAATTATGTAAAGAAAATTAAAAGAAAATAAAGGGAAAATAACAAAAAAAGCTCCAAAAAATAAGGTTTTTAAAATCTTAAAACAATATATGAGGTAGGAAATATTTTTAGGAATTTATGGAAAAAAATGGAGATAAAAATGTTTTAGGAGCTATTTTTAATTAATTTTTAAAGAAAAGGAAATCAAAAGGAATTTTTAAAGGGAAGGAGTGGCGCAATCTGATTGGCTGGAGGATTCGAATTTCGCTCTCGAACGCGGAAACTCCTTCATCTTCATCCTCCGTCACTTTGATTTTGTAGAATCGCAAACTCTGAGATTCAAGCCTTAACACCCCATGGTTTAGCTTCATCTCATGTCACAATTCATGTCTTTCTGAATTGGAGCCATTGATTCACTCCAATCAGAGAGAATTTGCAAAAATACGCAGAAAACATAGCTACTTTAAAGTAAAAGTAAATGAATAATATGAATAATAAATTCAATGTGAGTGAGGGCTTTTATTCATAAGATCAAGACGAAGAGAGTGGTAACTTGTTTGCTCATAAATGTTACTCGTATCTACCTTTTCAAAGTGAGCTTCAGAGGTCAATAATGGTGGATTTGAGTTGAATGTTGCAAGGCACGACAAGCTTCAACAATGCTTCACACAGCTTCAAAGGATGCCGATGAAGGGTTTTTGGGGGGAAATGGAGTGAAAAACGAGCTTGAATTGAGAAACCAACTTCTAGTTTTTAGAGGTATCAGGTTGATATTTCTATAGAGTTTTAGAGGCTCTTCAAGCTTGTAAATCAAGGAAAAGTGATGCTCTATTTATAGGAAAGGGAGTGAGATCATGGTACGTGCCAATTTGAGATCCCAAATGTGTGAATGCATTCTACAATTTTCTGATTTTCCAACCGTGTCGCTCTAACTTTTTCATTTTTCAAGTGTTCTATCTGTCAAACCCTATCAGCTAACTGGGCCATGCCTCTCAAGTATTGGGTGTCCAATTTCTTCCTAATTGAATAATCTAGACCCCCTGCAGCCATTTCGACCAACTCATGCTCAGTCACCTGAGTGAAACATCTAGCTTTGAGCAAACAGAATCTGTTCAGATAATCATCTATAGGCTCAGTGAATTTGCGCTTAACACTCTACAATTCCTTCAAACTAATATTAGTTTGTCCAATGTAGAATTGTTCATGGAATAATCTCTCCAATTGAGCCCAACTATGAATCAAATTTGCTGGTAATATTGTGAACCATGTAAAAGAATTTTTCGTTAGTGAACTTGGGAAGTATTTAATCCTAAGATTTTCATTACTGGCTATTTCTCCTGCCTCTATCAAGTATTTAGCCACATGTTTGATATTGGACTTAGTAGTGTCCCCAGAGAATTTAGTAAATTTGGGGACTTTCCATCTATGAGGTATATCCGTTTGTAAGATGTACTCACTCAATGGCGAATTTGTAACTTAATCTATGAAGTCCAACATTCATACCATTTCGAGCCATAATCCTTTTAACCATGGCTGCCAGATTATTTTTCTATGGACATATTATCCTGTCGAACTTGATATATGACTTCATCAGCATTTTGATTTATATTCACCATCATAACCCTAGGTTCTGGTTCCCTTAGAATTTGTGGTTCCTACCTAAGAGGTTTGGTTCTAGGTATTTCGACATTCGAAATTCTAGGTATTTCGACTGCCCCTCCCTGATTTACCATATTTGCCTAGGGTGTATTTCTTTGATTCTATTGAACTTGATTAATTATTGGGTCTTCTTCAAAGATTACCCCTTGATTTTACCTAACACATTCCCTCTGAGGACGTGGTGGAGGTTGAGGAACACCAAATAATTCAGCAATGCGCGTCATTTGGCTGCCATTTGTTGGTTCGCTTGAGTGATGTTTTGAATCAAAGGGTTAAAAGTTGTACCCATTATTTGTGCAAGCATTTGGACCATTTCATGGTTACTTTCATCCATTTGCTTCCTAATCACTACTATAGAGTGATTTGTCAAGTTTGGCATTTGGGAGGAAACTCATTCTCCATGGGGTTGGATGATTCGACCCATATTATTAAAAGCAGATCCAGAACCTTGTAATGGCGAAGTAACGTTCATCATAGGATCTGAGTATGTTGATATGGAATTATGTAAACCTTTCATAAAAGATGACGGTATTCCATAAGGTCTTTTGCGATCGTTTGAGGCATAGAAAAACCAGGAGGCCCTTGAGGCATATGGAAAGTATTTCCCCCTAGAGGGGGTCCCTTGTGGACCATGTGGTCCTATATAGGTCAAAATAGGGTCAGTATGAGCGTTCGACTGCATTGGTGTCGAACTTGTTGAAGACGGTATGGCCTCTGAAAAAGGCGCAGAAACCTTACTTCCTCCTTCTTTACACGTGAATTTGGTAAACAATTGCTAGTCCTCCAAACTAAATACTTTGGTAATTTGCAGGATTGACTAGATTGATCCTATGACATGTGTCTAAGTTTCTAAGATTAAACTTGTAATGGGATTCATGTTTAACATTATTTTGTTGATAACAATATAAATCTTAGAATTATAATTTAAAGTAAG